AAACGAAGTGTTTTAATGATATCACTAATGGCAAGGTCCTTATGTTGCGACTAGTGGTGTCATCAAATGCTTAGTTTTAGTGGAATTGCAGGTACCACTGACGTCTGATTGAAAATTGGAATGGTGCAAATGGATGCTGTCAGTGTCTACGATACACATACAAAATCCAGAAAACTTCTTTTAAATCTTTTTAACTTAACCCAATTCCTATTTAATGGAATGATCATGTATTACGTAAAGTATTATGAAGTCCTAGAAAATAATTCGTTCCTCAATGGAATTCATCCAGATATAGCTCGTGTAGTCAAGCATCATTAGCTTGAAAACCATTTGTTTGGAATCATTTACGCTTCAAGTAACATTAAAAGAGAGCCTTATGAATAATGAAAATTTCATATCTTAAATTGTTTCTATTGTGTTTTTATTCTGCAGGAACAAAACATAATATTTGCTTCTAATAAGGCAGTTGTTATATTTCTATGAAACTATGCCTTCCCGTGATGAGCGATATTAATTATTGAAGGCTAGATCTATTTCTCATTTCTCTCTCTACTAAAATGTACTGTTGCATAGTTGTAACGCTAGCTTAATCATGTGATATTTCGGGCAATTTTCTTATGCAATCGTATGAAGAATTGTTCAACTTTGTTTTATTATGTAAATCGTTCATATAGGCTCCATAGCGTCGTTGGGAAATCTGCTAAAATCAACTCTCATCCGGTTGGCCTCTGTCAAATTGCTTAAGTCATACTGTACCAAAGACCAACAATGTCAAGTACAAGTATATCCTGGATCACAAATGCTAGGTAAGAGTCAGCAACTTCTATCAGGTGCCTGCATGTTACCAGGACGTCTGTGGTCTATCTAATTAGAAACAAATAAGTAATTAATGAATAAAAGAACTGACGGAATCACAATTGATTTGAAAGAAGATTTAATTTACTGAAAGAATGTTCTTAGGTCACGTATATTCTTTACAGCTCTGTAAGAATTTTATTGCAGAAATTTATTTAATGTTGCAAGAGAATTGATCGGTATTTTTATGGAATAGAGTGCTAAGAGTTGGACTAACATAAGTGCTTAGAGTACACAATGTATCAGTCTATCGCAACAGAATGTTTTTGTCAGGAAGGCAGATTGTAAAGTTTAAGAGAAGAAAATATTTGTATGCCAAACAACTGAAGTAGCCGTTTGCTGATGTAGCAAGTTTATTTATCTGCGTTTTTATGTACATTAATCTAGGGGCTGTTAAGTGTATCATGAGGCTATGTCCTATACAATTTGGAACCTATATTGTTAATATGTTGGAAAAATAACAATCATTTAAGTGAAACTGAAAGGAAAGGAGTTTTACTTCCTGCTTCTCTGCAACTGATTTGATCAATAATGACGGAACGGTGGTTGAAGAGTAGAATATAAAACTCATATAATACTGTATAATTTCACCATATCAAAATGAATTCTAAATAGCTGTTCTGTCATTGGCAGAAAGTCTCGTTTTTCTTTTCAATTATAAAACCAATTTCCAATTTCTAACTCTCTAGACTGTTGTATCAGACGTTTTAGAAAGACCTTCAAATTATTATTTACCTAATTTCATTTTCAATTCGATCGATAATTGTGAGATATATAATATATTGTTTGTGTTAATGGCTAATATACGAACAAAAGCAACTCACGAAAATACACATTGCATGATAGAAAAGCTGTTACATCAATAGGGCCCCTTCACTTTCATAGAGGCGAACTTTTGTTATTTACAGTCTAAGTATATTACAAATAACACAGGGGAAATTATACCATATCATTAAGTTCCATGGAATGCGCAATAGAAAAAGTGCTTTGCAAGAAAATATTCTTATAAGTTTATTGATAAAAATATTATTTTAATATTGAGAAGAGCAGAAAGATACATTTGTTTGCAAATTACATACATAAAAATAAACAAAAAATAGTGAAACTTCCATAAAAAGGTTAAATATTTAAAGTTCCTTCCTGGTAATAGAAGTTCAATATACGATGAATTTTACTACAAAAAAATCAACAATTTTATGTTGCGCATTCAGAGATTTAAGTATATACAGGTCATTGAAGATCGAATTTTTGCAAGTTGGATACAGAATAATCGATGATGCTTTCAGTTCTTCTTAAAAATATATGTTCCTTATAGTTAGATGAAGGGAAGAAGTTCGTTCTTTGGTGAGACAGAGCTAAAGAAAGGTTACAAATTGTTTCATGTTGCAACGTTCTATCGTAGGACTCAGTCGCTCATGTACGTGCGCATTATATTTAAAATATACGTTTAATGGTGACACTCATATTTACGTTTCAGTGAGACGTTAGATATAAAATGTAAGCTTGATTACTTCATATTCACTTTGTAAAAAGGTTTATCTGTACACAAAATAAAAATGTAAAGTTCATCCTATTTCTCTGTGATTTATCATGACGTAAGTTTGTTTACTGTTCAGTACAACGCTAGTTGTTTTACAAATTCAACTAATAAAATTGACTTTTCTAGATTGCTGGAATCTTGTTCAATAAATTGCGTAGGTGAAACAGAAGCCATGATAATTGATGGTGTATTATATAATAATGATTAGGCTGTATTGAAACCAAATTATTGATATAATAATGTCTATTCATAGGCTTACTGAATACATTCTGAATAAATGAGCCATGATCTTATACGTTTAGCTAGCTACCAGATGTGCAACCGCAGCTTTCAGCCACCAGAATGCACTTTATCATGAGATTTATGTGAAAATATTTGGTTTTAAAGCAACTTCAAATAGTTAAAATTCTCCCAGATGTTCACTGCTAGAACCGTGGATCACAATCTTGGTCGTCATAATCCTAAATTAGTCGATTATCCTCAACACAGCTTTGTTTATTGAAATGTTTCCTAAAAGATTTGACAATGGCAGATCTTTCTGACAAGATTTGACAATGGTAGATCTTTCTGACAAGATTTGACAATGGTAGATCTTTCTGACAAGATTTGACAATGGTAGATCTTTCCTAAAAGATTTGACAAAGGAAGATATTTCCTACAAGATTTGTCTCAGAACAAAATAGAAATGATCTTCGTATCTTATAGATAAGCTGGTGGTTAAAATCAGCTCTGGTATCAAAGTATAAGAGGCAATCGATGAAATTGAAACCAGTAGGATGTTTAGTGACTTATTTTAAGATGATTAGATTGATGCAAGTGTTTTGTTGCATGTTCAATAAACATACTACCAATATTATCAGTTCTTGTTAGGTCATGCCCGGGCTTTCATTATTCAATAATAAAGTACTTCCAAAGCTATTTATACCATTTATACAGCACCAAGCATGCTTGGTAATATTTTCTAATAAATGCCGCTAATCTTATCTCTTCTTGGTTGCTCTCTATATCCGTTATCTAAAACTG